ATTAATTTTGTCTTAGTCTGGTTTGGCGGGGGGGGGGGGAATATGGCCTGTAGCAGTGTATATACACACACATAGGTACACATTTATTTTGGGAAGAGAGAGATCTTCAACATTTGATTCAGCTGGAATTGGCAAATCTAGATTAGCAAGTTTGCACAAGAATTTTGTACATGTTTTTATTCTTTTTGGTCGCCGCCACCTCCTCCTCCTCCTCCTCCTTAAGATCATTTTAAAATCAGATTTTAATTCCTTTCAGGTAAATACAGTATTATAGAACACCAGAGTGAATTTCTGTTTCTCCCTGTCAGAAAAAGCCTACTGTTGGCTATCTTACTTCGATGACTTTCAGATTGGATTATTTGAATCCTCTCTGTGTGATACTGCATTTGAAAACAATATAAAAGCTCCAGTTTATCAGAATGCAGCTTGCAGACTACTAAGAGTAGATGTTCAAACCAAATCACACTGATTTTGGAAGAATTTCATTGGTTGTCTATTCACTTCAGAATTTATTTCAAACTGTTGGTGCTTTCCAATAACATTGCTTAGGTTTCAGGTATCTGTTGGATCATTTGAAACTCTTATCTGGGTGCCTTCACCATTGGAAATAATACAGGAGATAATCTGGAGCTTATTTCCTATGGAGCATTTCCCTAGGGAGACCTGCTATTTTACTACAATTTCAGCATCAAGGAAAAGCCTTTTTTAGCTTTTCTTAGAAAGGCCCTCTGTTGAGTATACTCAATAATGAAAATGTGTTATGAATCCCTAACGGAGGTGGCATTTCTTGTGTTGGACAGTAATTCAAAAATATTCTTCAAAGGGAGATTCAACCTAGTGCCCTCCAGATGTTTTAAATTATCAACTTCCATCAGGTCCAGCAAGTACAATCATTATCAAAGAATGTGAAAGTTGTAGATCAAAACATATACTTCCAATATTTTCTGATACATTTGATCAAATCTTTCTTAAAATGAGCAATACACCAAAGCTTAAGAATATGGTCTTTAAACTAGAAAATACAATTGGAATATCAAGAGACAAATGGTTGACCTTTAAAGGACATATCTCATTAACAATCAATAGTAAAGAAGAATCTTTTGGAGTAGGCCACTATAATAAATCTAATACATAATAAATATATATTTTAAAGTATAAACTTAGGTATATTATTTCTTTCTCTTCTGCATTAAACAGTTGTGAGAAGCTGGGCTGGTTTCTACATCAAGCCTAATTTGTTTCTCTTCATTGTACTGGAAATAATCCTCAAAAGTAATGTCATCTTAGTATGTTTTTTTCCTTAGATGCTCTCATACTGTTGGTGCAAAAGCATTTTATTTTCCAGGAATTATAATGTATTGCACATTTTTTTTGCTTCCCTGGTGAATTAGGGTTTTTTTTTCCTGGTACAGAAAGGATGAGGAGATTATTTTGGCCTAAACTCATTTAGCTTTTGAATATAAAAATATTGTTTCCATTGTATTGGTATAAAGGCTGTATCTTTTCCCAATACAGGGACCTTGCTGCAAGGAACTGTCTAGTAGGTGAAAATAATGTTCTGAAAATTAGTGACTTTGGGATGTCTCGTCAAGAAGATGATGGAGTATATTCATCTTCAGGATTAAAGCAAATTCCAATCAAATGGACTGCTCCAGAAGCCTTGAACTATGGTAAGGAAATAATACTGCTATCAGTTCTTTGTCCAGCATACATTGTTTGACTAAGACAGTATGAATAAAGTACTTAAAGATACTTAAACACCCTTGGAATCAAAACCTTTAAAATTTTAAAAATTTGGAGCCCATGAAATACTAGACTTCGAGCCCCTCCCTTTTACACCAATTGATCTAGACTGAAAACTAGGTATTCAAAATGGAAGACTCAAAGAGCCTGAACTAAAATTAAAGATGTATCTAGAAGATACATACTGGATACAAAATACTTCCCGCTCTTATTTTTATAAAAACCACATTCTTCTTTAGATAAAAACACATTTCCCTTGGTAGACAGGAAGCTGCTTTTATTTTTGAAATGCTACTTTCCTTGCTTTTTGTTCTCTCCACTTCTACCAAACTGCTGTAACAATTACCTTCATTTCAGCTACACAAAACATAACAAATAAACCAAAAAATCCATTATTTCCTAGTTCTCGAAGTAATACTGTAGGATCCATTTTTTCTTAGCCTCTGTTTTCTTTCTTTTAAACTGTTACTTATCCCTAAGATGTCTGTCTTCCTAAGCTGCAACTATTAAACCTACTCAGGAGCCTGTGATGAGATACTTTGTCAAAAGCTTTTTGAAAATCCAGATGAAGTGTCAACTGGATCACCTCTGACAACTTGCCTGCTCACATTCTCCTGTACCTACCCTCTCAAATAGCACCTACTTCTCCAGACATTCTCCTCCTGCTTCTCAGGTATGGCAGGCAGGAAGTGAGATGGAAGGAGGAGAATGTCTGACCTGCTGCTGATGCTGGGTTCACTAACAGTTGGGCCCATCGCCAAGCAATGGAAGGGAGCCACTGGCAACATGCGCTTCCTGTGGGGGGAGGGGTGCTAGCTTGGGATGCTGTCATGTCTGGGTAGTAGTCATGAGGCCCTGGGCCAACAGGCAGGCAGAATGCCTCCTCCTTGTCCCTTGGCCACAGTTGCTTGAACAGTGCTTTTGTATCACTCTCCTCAGCCTCTGCAGCCCCACCACCATCCTGCCCATTTTTCATTGCTTGCCTGACCTCATGAGTTCAGACTGCAAGGGAAGGATGCAGGAATATGTGCAGCTGATGATGCAGCCAGGAGCAAGAAAAGCAGAGCGGGCATAAGAGACTGGAACTGGCAGCAGGCAGTGGACTGTTGTGGGTGGGAGGGCCCCTCCTTTGGGGCCCCCACTCACTGACCCCTTAATCCAGCCCTGCCCAAGGAGGTGAGAGCTTAGGGGTTGAGCCCCCCCCCCCCCCGGGCTGTGGCAGGCAAGAGATAGAATCCCATACACACTGTTTCCCCACCGCTCTCACAGTAAGAGACCTCAGCCACATGAGAGGAGGAGCATTGCCAATGGCAAATGAGGAAGAGCTCTCTTTAGCCACTTTTAGGGTATCTATATTAGCAATGATGGCAATGACAGCTCCTGTCGCTCACCAGTAGTCTGTTCGGATGCCTGGGCTTGATACAGAAGCCACATGTCCACTGGGTAGGAGTGATGGAGGTGGCAGTTTACAACAAACGTGAGTCACCCTCTTCAGTAGTGGAACAGTAAACAGCAGTCAGTAAAACTTCTGCCTGCTACTCTGCTACCCTCTGCTAACCATTGTTCAGCCGCTGCCAGTTAGGATCCCCCGTAAGGACACATGCACATACACCGTTTTTGTTTTGTTTTTAAAGATTGAAGGCCCAGAGGACCCCCAAGGCAGGCACCTCTACTGTTTTTCCTATATTCATACAACTGACCTGGGAGTAAGGCAGACTCCCGCTCCAGCCTATGTCGAGTGATTCCAACTGCAGCCAAATGCAGTAACAGATGTTTTTAGACTTGTTCCATCTACTGTTGGAGGAATGGGGCAGAGTACACATTCCAGTTCCCCTGAATTACAAATTTGGAAGAGGACTGTTGCCCTTCCCTTTTGTCCCTGACTGTGACGTAAAAATGTGAAGTAAATCATGAACCACAAGGCTTTTGTGGTTCCCTTAACCTGGTATGCTCTCCCAAGCTTGCATCACATGGAGGAGTTGTCATTAGTACCAAAAACACACTTTAAGTTGCTGAGGCCTTTGAGACCTTCAGATTTTCATCATATTGCTAGGCTATCTACTGCTCCTTTTTAACTTTTTTATAACTTGCTATTTATGGTATTCCACTTTTTAAAACATATTTGATCATAAAAGCCCTAAAGAATTTTCTCTTCGTGTGTTTATATCTCTAAATTTAAAAAAAAGACTGACTGACTGACTGACTGACTGACTGACTGACTGACTGACTGACTGACTGACTGACTGACTGACTGACTGACTGACTGACTGACTGACTGACTGACTGACTGACTGACTGACTGACTGACTGACTGACTGACTGACTGACTGACTGACTGACTGACTGACTGACTGACTGACTGACTGACTGACTGACTGACTGACTGACTGACTGACTGACTGACTGACTGACTGATTATTTTGGCAATTGGCTTAGATAAAAACCTAAGAGTGAGCAATTAACACATTGTGATTGATTAAAAAGTAGTTTGAGGTACTGTATTCTCTGCTGTTGTCTGTTAAAACAAAGGCTCAGTATTTTATTGCAGAATGCAAATGGCCTAACAAAATGGCCTGAACATTAAAAAAATAGAATAAGGCAGACTGTTCTAAAAAAGAATGGGAGAAAAGGGAACTCTATCAGTAGAAAAGAAATTAAGAAATAGTATATGAATTTTTGTTTATGAATGGAGAAACAGATGCATATTTCTATAAAAGAAAACACCAAATGGATGTTACCTCAGTGTTCGTTAGTATTAAGCACCTTGTATGCATAAGGATACAGTTATGTTACTCAAGTTAACTTTCCATTAAACTGTAAAGTAAAATGCAAATAAGTCTGTTTCAGAAAAAGTGAGTTTCTTTTCATTGCATCATCCATTCCATCACTAATAAATACTTTTAGGGTATTACTCAGGTTTTCAGTGACATTGTGGCATTACTTGAAAATACAATAATTCAGCCTTATGTCACTTCAGAATCTTGAAAATTTAGTAAATCTGTGCTATTGGTTATTTCACAGAGACTGGCTTTACACAACATACTCAGTTCAGGGCAGGGGCAGCTTATTGTCTGCAAGTACACTAAAATACATAAAATAAATAAAATAATAAATAATAAAATAATAAATAAAAATAAATAAAATACTAAAATACAGTGTTGAGGCATGAAAAGAGCAGTTTGAACCTAAAACTATATTGGGGTGATTACTAGTCAGATATCCTCCCCTTAATTAGTTTTGTGTTTTGTGACCTAGAACCCCAGCCAGTCTTCCTGGATGAAGGTGTAGACTTACTGAAAACTTAAAAGCACTATCAGAATGGTATATACAGTCCACCTTCTGTTAAGCTTTCAGAGGAGAAGGATACATTGTGTTATGTTACATTATGCCCCCATATATGGGATTTTATATGATTCCCACACACCCGTCTTGCTGGAGAGGGGGGGAGATAGTTCTCTATTTTTATGCAGTATATATCGTCAGTGAAACCAGTCGTGTGGTCTCTTTTGGTAGTCAGTGTAACTGAAAACTCTCTTTTCCAAAACTCATTGCCATTGGTTGACAGCCATAGAGTACAGCTCCACAGCACTGATTGGTTGTATCTCCCAAAATAGCAGCCATTAAGCCAATTAGTGTGATGGTGTCCAGCCTGTGACTGAGTTAATGACTGTTGAGTTAAATGAGTTTTGAGAATGGAATGGAGACACTGAGTCATTTACCCACTTGGAATGCTAAAACTTTCATTCCTACTCCCAAGAGAAAGGGGAGAGAAAATGAACAGTGATTGGGATGTGCAAATCCAAGAAACAGCCCTAATTTCTTAACCAAAGCTGGGAGTTTAAGGAGCAGGCATCTGCTTCAGGCCTACATTACTGGGGGGGGGGGGGGAATGTTTTTATAAGCATGCACTTCTGATTAATCCATAAAATCTAATATAGGAATTATTTAAATATACACTTTTTGCAAGTCAAAACTGTCACACCTTTCTGATTTTATATCATTAGGAAGCAGTACCCTGGGTAAGAAATATAAGAATCCTTTCAAAATATTATAACAGGAATTGGCATTTAAATACATATTTTGTTTGATATCTGCATGACTGAAACCTTAAACACAGTACTAGGGAAGTTATTTTTGTGACATTTGGAATAAAACACTCTCCAGTCCAAACAGCAATGTTTCATAGTTGCATAAAAGCTCTTGGCAAACCTTTGTTTGTTATGGTCTCATTTTTTTCAGCATACTGTCTCAATTTTATGTATCCTTAATGCATACCATAAAAGTTTTAGTACCAGCATCCTTTGAAGGTGCCTATATAGCAGCCTTCCACTGGGTACTCCTCAAGGTTTCTGTGTTTGAGATTTCTGGGAATTGAAGTCCAGCTTCGGGAATGTTATCATATATTGTACTGAGAAAGATAATTAACTCCATATAACTTACTCTTTTTTAACAAAAGAATTGTTTCTAATTGAGATTCTTGAATATCTTAAGTAAAAGATGCTATACTATTAGATGTTAAGTCCAAAAGAAGAAGAGGTGTAGAGTTACAAAAGTAATTGTATTTCTGGTAGCACAGTGAATGCTCATAATTGCTCTCTACTTACCAGATAGGCTAATTTAAAGCAGCACGGGTTGTTTAAATGCAAACAGAACGTTAAGAGGTTGGAACAATTAATGTAACTGTGGCCATCAGTACCATTTATGTGTATTTCATTTAGACTGGTATATCACAGGATTAAATTGTAAGTTAAATATTTAGCAATTGGAAATTGCAAAACCAAAAAAAAAAAAAAAACCAACCCAAACCCAAAAGTGATTTTCAAAAACTGTTATGAATTATTGGACCTCTTTTATATTAATTGTATCCATCCATTTATGCTTTGTTATTTCTGAAAACTGTTTAAATCTCCATATAGAAAAATTAATAATCCTGATTACTGTCCCAATGGGCCATCTTTTGGTAATTTGGTAAGATTTTGAGAGAGCATCTATTATTAATCTGTACCTGGTAAGATCCACATTTCATATCTGGATGCTCACCATCATGCCTTCTAAAACCTCCCTCTTTTTCCTAATCAGCTTGCTGATCTCTGGTTCCAGCTATGGGGAGACAGATATTGCATTGGTAAAAAGCTTGGTCCTGCTCTGTCCCAGTAATTCTGGTCAGCATTGCTTGTTACTGACAGCCCAAAACTAATACGCCATAAAGAGTGTTGCTGGGAGAAAAGAGATAGTAACCAGCCTTCCTTGTCCAGCATCTCACACAGTATTCTAATGGCAGTGGGAAATGAGCTGCTAGACATTTGATCATGTTGATCAACAAACAACAAGGAAAATGAAGGGAGCTGCAAATGGAGTTTAGGAGTGGGGAGGTAGAAAACAGTAGATTGCTAAATAGTCTGCAATTCATAATTTATTTTTGGGAAAAAAATCAAAGATAAAAAAGATTTTAGGGTAAACCTTACCCAGAATTTAAGCTCTGGCTTTGCTTTGTTTGTGTAGGCCAGTGTTGTCCAAACTTGGCCACTTTAAGATGAGTGGACTTCAATGAGTTGAAGTCCACTCATCTTAAAGTGGCCAAGTTTGGACAACACTGGTGTAGGCTCTTTTCTAGAATAAGGCTCTTGTCGTGCTAAAGAGCAGCATGCAGATACATCTCTGTTTTAAGACACTTACAAAACATGCAACATTTAAACAAGACATATTTCATTTGAGTATTGGATATTCCAGCTACTCAGATGTAGCATCTTCTATATCCAGCGAGATAAAGATTGGCATAAAGGATTTTTCCTTTCCAAGGGAACTTTTGAACTTCACTTTTCTATCTGTATGGCTCCTTGTTGCTGTTCTCTTGCTTCACATGAAGCTGCTTTGACTTAGTATTCCTAAGCATTGTTTTAAACAGCTTTTGTGACAATGTTTTAATATTTTAGAATGGATTTTTAAGCTATCAATTTGTTTTGTTTTAGTATATGAGCACTGGAAAATGGCATCAGTTAAGGATACAGTTAGGATTGTGAATCATAGAATTATAGAGTCAGAAGGGACCACAAAGGTCATCTGGTGCAAGCCTGCACAACTTGTAAAGGGCCACATTGATAAATTCAAAATCATAGCAGGCTTATTCTTATTATTAGCTTTTAAAAGACCTGAGCCCCTAGTTGAAACCTCCAGAGATGGAGAACTCACATCTTCCTGCAGAATTCCAAAGGTCCACAGTCCCAGCCCAGTGGGCCTTTTGTTTCTTGCCTACTTTTCTACATGGATTTTTATTATCCATCCTCTTGCTGCCTTTTTATCAACAGGACGGTACACTTCTGAGAGTGATATATGGAGTTATGGGATTTTCCTCTGGGAGACCTTCAGCTTAGGTGTGTGCCCGTATCCTGGCATGACTAATCAGCAAGCACGGGAACAAGTGGAGAAAGGTAATTGCATGTGTGTGTTTGTAATGAATACTTGTGAAATAGTTCCACCTGATTATTGCTATGGTCTTTATAAATTGGGGTGAAGGTCTAACACTGAATAGGAGATAATTCAGCAAAGCTGAAATGATATAGCAGGTATTCATGCTAGATGATACATTTTGCTATTTCATTATGTCAGATAATCAGCATCTGATAATAAAGCCATTGTTCAAGGCTAATGTCTTGAGTTATCGGCAAGCTTTTTAGCAGGACTACATGGAGATTATTTGATGAAGTGGACTCTGGCCTTAAAATGACCTGTACATTAGGGCTGTGCAGCTGTTAGAAAACAGTTAGGCAAGCCAAAAGATGCTTCGTATGTGCTTACATAGCACTTGTTTTCTACTCCTAAAAACCACTGCATTTTTTTCCCCTCAAGATTGTGCAGTTGCCTTCTGCAGCTACAGCATGAACCCAGGAAAAGATGGATTTGGTTTAAGGAGTTCCAAACAACTGTGATATGCACACCCATGTGTGCTCCAAATCACTATTTTGCCTTCAGATCTGAAACATTGCACCTGATCCACATTTCTCCCATCTGTCCATTTGTTACACACGTGTGCACGCACACACAAGTTCATATTCCCAAATATTATTAAATAAGAGCAATGGAAGGAACCCCCTTAGGCGCAAAGCCAAGCTGGATGACTTTGGGCCAGTCACATTATCTCAGCCCTAGGTAGCAGGCAAGGGCAAACCACTTCCAAAATCTTGCCAAGAAAACTAGGAATTAGTCCAAGCAGTCAGGCCCCATAACCCAGCTCCAACAAACCCCAAACACATAAAATGGGCCCATCTGACATCTTGCCTCACAACCAGGGGAACATCCAGGTTTTATCACTTTGTGGAAAGCAAGCTGGTTGGGACCATACAACTCTTGGGTGGGGAGGCTGTTCCAGAGGGCAGGTGTTGCAACAGAGAAGATCCTGTTCAATATTAAAAATACATAAATAAACATATTTAAATCATGTTGTATAGGAGTCAGTTCTAAATAGGTTTGGTCATCAAATTTTTAATTGTACTTTAATTTCTCAACATTCAATTACATTTTTTTTTTTTTAAATACACACTAGGCTATCGAATGTCAGCGCCTCAGAAGTGTCCAGAGGATATCTATAAAATAATGCAACGGTGTTGGGATCTAAATAGGTTTGGTCATCAAATTTTTAATTGTACTTTAATTTCTCAACATTCAATTACATTTCCATTTTTTTTTTTTTAAATACACACTAGGCTATCGAATGTCAGCGCCTCAGAAGTGTCCAGAGGATATCTATAAAATAATGCAACGGTGTTGGGATTACAATCCTGAAATGAGACCAAAATTCAACGAGATTCACAAAGAGCTGTCTGCACTGAAAAAGAAAGTGACATCATGAGAAACTGACGGGACTCAAAAGACAGGACTCCTCTTTTTCCAGAAAAGTATTATTTTTTCCTGTCATGAATCCAACACATTTATACTACATTTCTTCCAATATTCTTCTAGGACTCCTTTTTGTAAAACAAAAAAAAAAAAAACTGCTTTATTCAAGTGTGCCCAGGGTGGAGAATGTCAAGATGTCTATGTTAAAGACAGAGTGTTCTGCCAAGTGCTTTATAGTCACAATGATGCTGTCATATAGGTTTTGTGTAAATAGATAAACACGTAATATATGTGTAGAATTAGGGAATTCTGGCTTATTTAGATATTTCTATGATAAACCCCAAACAGTGTTTTGGGGGCTTTGTTTCTCCTTTTCAATGCATGTACTTGCAACAGTCTTAGTGTAAACCCAGTGGTTCATGAACCATTCCCACAAATCTTAAAGCTGAAGGCAGAGTTTTCAGTATATCTTTTAAGGATAATATAAAGTAGTGCTCTGAAAAAGAACACACACATGCAAAATCACCAGCTGATGCAATTTTGAATATGTGTTTTTTCAAGAACATGATGTAAGGATCTGATTATAGAATGAGGAGTTTGTGCACAAGTTTTCTGAAGACATTTCACTACAGTAAATGTTTCTAATATTGGATATTATTTATTTTCATCTTTAAACAAGGAAAAAGAGGCACAATTTGCCAGGAACTGGCAAGCACAAATCCATTAATGGTATAGCTTTTATTTGCAGGAGAGAAAATAAATCCAAAGGTGTTATATGTAATGCACTTGCTGGGAAGTACTGTCTTTCAGAAGTATGGAATACAATTATTCTTAAATGTGCACATTCAGTAGTGCTGTCAACAACATATTTGCAAATGAAAGTAGCATGTGATTAAGGTAACCAGTAGCATTGATTTTGTACGGGAAAAGGATAGTGAATTACCTGATTGGAAGCTTTGTGAATTGATGTTTCCATTCTGTATGCCCCTGGAGGAAGGAATACACACACATTCATACTGTATCCACTATCAATTTCTCAGTTGTGTTTTTAAAAAAGGCCTGAGAAGAAAATTGTAGTAAGGAATTACTATCTTTTGAAAAGAGTAGTTTGCCCACTAAAAACTACAAAGTTGACCAGAATACAGTTCCATTTTTCTGGTTGAACTCAGTATCCTCAGTATCCTAATATCATTAAACTGATATTTGGATACTCCGAGAAGTATCAGACAATAATGAGCAAAATTAATGACTGGATTCTTCCTGTGGTCCCAAGGAGAATGACTCTTCCAGTTATTGGTTTCATCCTGATTTCCTGAATCCATAGCTGACCAGTTCTGTTGCAAGGGGTTTCAGATTATACCTCAGAGGTAGCAAAATGCTGGTCTTGTTATGTCAGCAAATCAGTCACTTCCAGCCCAAGGGATGAAGATGAAGCAATGTGATGTTTTGCTCCTGGAAATCACTTCCTTTTGTAGGGGAGGACCAAGAGGTTGGTGAAGTCTGTGATTGCAAAATGGACCTGTTTTGCTCATCTTTCTGGCAAGAGCACCTTTGGTCTTTTGTGCATGTGTTTTGTGGTAGTACAGAGTGGTGATGTTGAGCAGGATGTATTCTACTTTTAGACTAGAAAAATTGATGTCATTCACATGATAAAATTTATGATCAGAATAAAACAGTAAAGCATTATATCGGAGGAAATGTTCTTCATTGTAGATGGGCTTGTTAGTAAGGGACATCAGGTGACTGTTGCCTTATATGCAAAGATTGCTTTATAGTTCGGAATCCAGTAAAGAGGTAAAAGGAATGGACAACAAATGTAATGTTGCGGTTTCTAGATATAGTAATGGGCATATATGGATCATAAAAAGAATATTCAGCAAAAGTAGGAAACAATTGATTACTGTGATCCTAAAGGGATCCAAAATAGTGTGCCTTTAATCATTGGCATTCCTTTGTTAATTAAAATGCACAAGGACTGAATCCTAACACCACAAGGGGGAAAACACCACAAATTGCCCAGTTGCACATTTTCGTCTATGCATTCACTAATGTGTAAATGTCAGGACAGAATGTAAAGAATGTATTTCCTTGTATTCATGATGTTTTTAATTTTTCTTTTAAGGGTTAGTATTTTTATATAGGAGAGATTGTTCCATTTCTTAAAGTCTTCTGAATGTATTCTGTCTTTCAACACGAAAAAAGACAGCACTTTGTCTTAAATTGATTAGAAGGACATCTTGTCCTGATCTTCTTGTACAAATGTAAAGGATAACTGCTATTTATATTTCATTTATGTAAGCAGTTAAAATTTGCAATTCATGTCAGACTGCTGCTCAGATTGAAAAACCTTTCTGAAAATGTAATACCAGAACATTGGGCATTTGTTCTGCCTGTCCTCTGTCCTAAAATCAGAGGTCAGCTAAAATCAGAAATTGGAATATAGGGTTCATTCACAGAAAGTAAGTTTAGCAAATTAATACTATATTTTTCACACATTCTTACAAACTACTCTCTTAGTTTGTAACTTAATTTGTAAAACTAGTTTTACCTACCATGTAAAACTATTTAAATTATGTTGGTAAAGTTATATCCATGCCAAATGCATATAGCCATTTCCTTTCTTAATGGAGTAAAGTTCTCTGCATAATTAGAAAATCTGTTGTTCCAGGATTGATGTAGTTCTTGTAAGAATAAAGTTAGAACCCTTCCACTATTACTGGTAATATGTAATACTAAATAAGCATTTCTGTTGTTTCTTAACGATAAATGTTAGTGCGATTTGAAAGTGCAAGAAACTAATACATTGTGAACAAATTAACATTTTACAACTGAAAGCCAAAACTTTTGAAGATATGCCACATAAAGAATAATTTGAAATTGATTTGCACTCTATAATCTGTTTATTTTCAAAAATTATGTTTTTAATAAATTATCCAAATAGCATAAGACTCTTGCCATTTTGGGAATCAGAAGCACATTATTCTGAAGTATAAGTTCTGTAAACCTTATATATGAAAATACAAGGTAAGAAACCATTAAAGGTTCTCACTCATACAAGATCATTTAGTAACTTTCCATTTTTGAAATATTTATGGACTATGGTACATTTTCATTTATGAGTGAAGGTATTTATATTTAACAAATGCCACATTTTTTGCTTTCTTTTAAATATTGAAGCAGATATTACAGAAGGTTGGAAACAGCAATGTTATGAAGCTTGTTTGGTTAGAAATATTTAAGTTGGTTTGTTAAGTTTTGGGGAGTGGTTAATCAACTGATTAAATCAGTTGTTGACCTTGGCGGCATAATACTGGCAGTAACTTACAGAAAGAAAGTGAATAACAATTTACAGGTCTCAATCAGTAATATTTTTATATATTTTACTAGCTGATTGAAAGATTTAGAACATTTTTTTCTTTAAAATTAGCACAAAGAGCTTTTAACTATACTATTTCTAGCTGTCTGGAATTTGCAGATTTTAATTAAAGATAGAGCTTTTCCCCCCTATTTGCAGTGAGATTCTTTCACAACCCAGAAACCTGGTTTTAGCTTTTGCAGGATGCCAGGATAGGAGAAGGAACCCATTCTGAATTGAGACTGTGAAAGTGAAGATTATTTCCTATCAAAAATCCTCTTCTACTTCCAAAACTGCTTCTTATTCCTAGCAACTAAGCAGGGCTGCTCAGCAGGAAATGGGGGGGGGGGGGGGGGACATAATTCTTTTTCATCCTGTGCCATATTCTCAATCAAAATCAGGAAGGGTCTTAAGAAACAAACACTGCTAAGTCTAAAATCCTATTTTAAACATCTATTAGTATAACCTTTAATTTCATTTTTAAAAAATGAATGAGTAGGCCTTGGTCATACAATAACAAAAGCAGAC